TGGCCCCACCAGCAACAGGTTTGTTTTATCACACATGAGGCTTATCATCAGAACTAGAGAAAAGCAATGACCAGAACAGAAAAAGTCTCTACCCTTGTGAGTGCTACGTGCTTTGGAGAAAAATTAAACAGGGAAGGGAGATGGAGAGTTCCAGGGGAGGGGCTGCAGTGTTCAATTGAGTAGGCAGGGCAGCCTTACTGAGAAGGGGGTATTTGAGCAAAGACCTAAAGGAGGTAGGGAGTAAGCATGTGACTGTCTGCAGGGAGGGGGCCCAAGGCAGAGAGTTGCCTGAAGAATTGAATGCGAATCATCTGTCCCCTCATCTGGCCTCTTCTTTAACCCTAGGTCTATGTCATATGCTTCTGTGAATTCATCCAGGGTGGTCACACTATTGTGTTGGATCTGCAATACTAAGAACAGGAATTATTAATTTTTTGATGTTCTGATTATCTACTGCTGTGTAACAAATTACCCCAAAATGCATTGGCTTAAAACAATAACCATTTTATTACACCTCATGATTATATGGGTCAGGAGTTAGAGCAGGGCTGGGCTGGGTGAGTCTTCTGTTCTGTGTGGTGTTGGTGGAGGTCACTTGGTGGTATTCAGTTGGCTGATGGACTGGTCTGGAGGGACCAGGATAGCTTCACTCACATGTTTGGCACCTGGACAGCAATAGCTAGAAGGCTAGCTTCCACGTGGCCTCTCCAGCATGGTGGTCTCAGGGGAGGGTCAGGGCGCCCAGAGCAAGCATCCTAAGAGACAAAGTGGGAGCTGCTAGTCTCTTAGAATACAGGCTTCCACAGAGTCGTGCTGAGCGAGGACAGCTAGGTGGAGCAGGCAGTGTTTGCGCAGGTGGTTGGCATGTGGGGCCAACATCAAACCAGGGAATCCCTGCAGCAGCTTCATCGTTTCAGGCATGCCTCTGAAGGCAATAGACCAGGACGAAGGGCAGCCCTGGGGAGGAGGGCTGGTGAGGGCTCCTGGAGATGTGAGGCTGGGGTCTGGTGAAAGCCTCCGGCCCAGGCAGGTCAAGGTCTGCAGCCCTAAGACTCGCAGCCCAGCCCCGAGGAGGGAGAGCCAACATGGATGGCCAGCCCTGCAGACCAGGCCATGATGGGCAGCTCTGGGGCCAGGGCTACCCAGGAGCTCTAGAACGGGCCTGCCTGCTCCTTTAGATCTGACTGCTGCAGAGGAGGCTGGGGCCACATGGGGGTCAGTGACGGGGCTGGTGCCTGGATCCCACACCATGTCCTTTTGGACTGTGTGTGGGGCCAAGGGAAGCTATGGATGGGTCTTGTATATGTGAGAGAGGAGCGAGGGAAGATAGAGGTAGGGGAGTGAGGAGGGACGCCGACACCAGCTGTTCTACGGTCTAGAGTCAGCCCAGGCTTGGGGGCAAGTGTCCTTGGACATGTGCGCACATACCTCCAGTGGAATCTGTGGCTCCATCACAGGGAATTGAGGTTCCACTGCTGTGTGTGTTTAAGGAGTAGGCCGGAACGTTCTGGATACTGTGAGGATGATGACATCGTCCTTTGCTGGTACACCCTCATGGTGTGCTTTTGAAGGAGGGAGTCAGCAGGGCGTGGCTGTCACATGATGTCATTTAGAGTTTGCCTGAGATAGGTCCTGAAGGGGGGTGCTGCTCAAACCCATGCCCCGTCCGTCTTTGCATCCCCTGGCACTTGACACAAGGTCTGGCTTCTTGATTGTTGGTTGACCCTCCAAAGCAATGGCTTGTATGTCTGACCATGTCAGGCAAGGTAGGATCGCATCTCAGGCAAAAGCCCAGGCTTTAGGGTCAGATACACCCAGGTTCATGTCCTGGCCTTGCCAATTAGTAACTGTGTGACCTTGGACAAGTTACTTAACATCTGAGTCTCTGTTCCTTCATCTGTAAAATGGGGTTAATAACAGTATCTACCCGGCTCAGAGTAAACACGCAGCAAATGATGGCAAAAGTTCCTGAGGGGACATCGTGTCTGTCCTGTACACCACGGAGCCCTTGGCCTGCAGGTGATGCACAAGAGTATCCTGATCAGACAGGACCTGTACTCTCAGCTTTCCAAGATGAGTTGTGCCTACTACACACAAGACATGGGCGTGTGTGGGGTGTGTGTTTGTTTAACACATACACCAGATTAGGTACACACACAAAGCTGCTAGTACAGGGGCTCATCCAGGCTCCGTGCTTGTTCTAATGAGGCTGCTTTGTGTGGGCCTTGTCTGGGGAACTCTCTACAGATTAGCTCACAAGCCACACGAGGACACCAGCGTCATGATTCTCACTCAAGGACCATCCTCTGACTGGCTTCCATATCATCTTCCATGACCTGGGTCCACACAGCTCTAGGCTTTTCCATAATGCTGGAATGTAAGAGTCTTGAGGGCAAGGACTATTGTATTCCCCATTATAACTTCGGTGAGTAGAACGCAGACTAGCTCACAGTACATACTCAAATATTTGCTGGATGAATGAATGAGCATTCCACACGTCTAAAGATAGTCCAAAGAGATCAAATCTCTAGTCCTCCAGAAGGCAAGAGGGGACAGGAAAGCTGGTAATAAGGAACCCAAGGTTGAGAAGGGACAGTGTTGACATGTTGTGGGGTTGTTAACCATTGTCATAAAACAATATGTGTACTAACTGTTTAATGAGAAACGATTTGTTCTGTAAACCTTCATCTAAAGTACAATAAAATAAAATAAATAAATGCAGAATTAGGGGGAAAAAAAAAAAAGATCTTATTTCCAAACACAATCTTATTCACAGGTACAAGGGATTAGGACTTCAGTGTATCTTTTGGGGGGACACAGATGAGTCCGTAATACTTGATTTAACAGATGGGAAGAATAAAGCACCAAGGACAAATGGCTTACCTAGGGTCACTTAATGAACCACTCGTAGAGGAAGAAATAAATCCAGGTTGTCTGAGAGTTCAGGCTGCCTATTCTGTCTAACAATTAAAAATGCAAAGATTTCAAAACATACAACAAATGCAAACAATTAAAGAGCTCAGCTGCTAACCAAAAAGTCAGGAGTTCGAATCCACCAGCCACGCCTTGGAAACCCTATGGGGCAGTTCTACTCTGTCCTATAGGGTCACTAGGAGTCAGAACCAACTTGAAGGCAATGGTTGGTTTGGAGTTTTTTTGTCTGTTTGTTTGTTTTTTTTGGTATCTATTGTAGAGACATAACACACACACACACACACACACACACACAAAATCTCTAGTCCTCCAAGCTGACTACTCCAAAATGACAGTCCCCAGATGTGCATGTTGTGATGTGTTGACTTAAAATTCCTTTAATTTAAAATGTGTTTGCATTTTAAAAAAAAAAGCCATCCTCTTTTAATAATGAAAACACATCACATTTCATTCAGTTTCCTGATTTTTTCTTATTTACGGAGTTCTAGCAAAATGTAATTATGTATTATAATTTCTCTTTTATCTTTATTTCAGCAAGGATTCACACAACATACTTTCTGTAAGTGTCAAGTGGGTCACAACTTCCTCGTGGATTTCTCCATGTTGACTCTTCCATGAGGAAGGATAAACCTGTTACTGAAACCTAGTTTAATTTGAACGTAACATAGTCTTACTTATGCAATCCCTTAAAGACTAAGACTCTTTGACCACAAAGCATACTTAAAAGCTTTCAAATATAACACAGTTGTAACACATCATTTATCCTGAATTGAAGTTTTGGTAGGACTGGGACAGTCTAACAGTGACAGCCAGACCCTAAAGGGACTTGGGACTGGGTGAAATTATTGTACATCAGGGTGCAATGCGGGGCTCCTAGTTCTTGTGGTGTTCCCACATCTCCTTCCTTGTAGATCAGAGAGGAACAAGTGGGGTCCCTGGCATGTTTTTCCAACTAACACACATTGACCAAACTCTTAATTACCATTAAATTCCCACTAAGTCTCCATCATAGTGCCCTTAAGTAACCGTAGTCAGAGTATAGATTCAACAGCCATGACTCCCTCCTTCCTCTTTCCACCCCACCCCCCATCCTCAGCTCCACGGGGCCCCCATGACATAGAGTATCAGAACCACGATATCAAAAGGGCATAGAATGGAAAAGCCAAACTCAGTCATGTTCTTCCCACCTAATTGCACAATGTTATATAGGTGTGGCTAGACCTTGTTGCTTATTCTTCCAAGTTCCTTAAAGGGCAGCCTTCTGGGTCTTCTGAAAATGGTGGTCACATGGATAGCTTTGTCCATAAACTGACCTTGGAGAAGTCATTCTTCCCTTGACTGTAAGTGGTGCTTGTTGAATTGGGGCCCATGTTCATGTGCTGGTCCCAGGCCAGTGCTTGTTTCACCACCACCCACCCACGCGGGCAGCATGGGGATAGGTTAGCTAGCATTTCACATTACTCTCTCCTCCACCTTTGTTGCTGCTATATTCTACTCACTTTAGTTATTACTAACATGTGCCTTATAAGGCATTGGTGGTCCAGTGGTAGAATTCTCGCCTTCCATTTGGGAGAACAGGGTTCGATTCCCAGCCAATGCACTTCATGGCCAACCACCACCCATCTGTCAGTGGAGGCTTGTGTGTCGCTCTAATGCTAAACAGGTTTCAGGAGAGCTTCCAGACTCACATGGACTAGGAAGAAAAGCCTGGCAATCTACTTCTGAAAATCAGCCAATGAAAACCCTATGGATCACAATGGTCTGATCTGCACCCATCATGGGGATGGTGCAGGACTGGGCAGCCTTTTGTTCCCTTGTGCATGAGGTCACCATGAGTCAAGGGCCAACTTGATGGCACCTAACAACAACAACAATAGTGCTTTGGAGGTGGGCAGGGAGAAAAAGGATTATATGGCAGAATCCAATGCTTTTTTTGCATAGTGGTTAAGAGCTTGGCTGCTAACCAAAAGGTCGGCCGTTCAAATCCACCAGCCGCTTCTTGGAAACTCTATGGGGCAGTTCTACTCCGTCCTATAGGATCACTATGAGTGAAATCGACTCAACAGCAATGGGTTTGGTTTTGGTTTTCGGAAGGGATGGTGTTAGAAATTCACAGTGCACTGGGAGAATGGAACACTTCCTCTAGAGCAAGTGGCAAAGCCAGGGGTAGTTAGTGATGCTGCTCAAATAATCCTCCTTGGAAATTCTATTTGACTAACTAGGAAAACCTTGGGAAATAAATTTGGCCAGAGGAGAGGGGTAAAAAACAAACAAACAGACTAGTCACCCAAGATGCTTTTAACATAATTGGAGATTTTATTTCCTTATCCAGTCTCTTACTCTTCGCACTCTTAACATGGCTATTTGATCTTTGATTGCACACATTTACAATATGGAGACAGGGCGCAGAAAGTGACAAGCAATGAAGAGTATTAATTATCCATTAAAAAGGACTTTTCCAAATATGTGAAATGTTTTCAAATATGATAAACTGGCCAAGTAGTTAAAAGAAAGCCACAAAGCAAAAGTGAATTATATTTCTTTTTTTCAGCCTAATCTCTAATTTGAAAGCTTTTGGAAATGTTAGCACTACAGAGTAAGAAAAGGAGAAGAAACATGGAGGCAGACAGCCTTCCAGCAGCTCCAGAAGGAACAGGCTCAGTAGGACCAACCCATTTTATAAGGCAGCAGATGGAGTGGACCAGCAACAGTGCAGCTTGGCAGAGTGAGCCGAGAACAGCCAGGGCTTATTCCTGCCAATGCAATTGTCGATGTCCCTGCATGTGCCGGGAGAGCCACTGACATAACATCAGGGGACAAGCTGGATCCGCACCCAGATCAACCCTACAGCAGGTGTGGAATCACAGAACCTCCAGCAGGACACAGAAATGTGAGGGGAGCCAACAGGATCAGGTGACTTGGGGATGTAGTCAGCTGCTCAGGACATCACAGACCAGTCCTGCAGATGGTTTCAAAGCAGGAACAAAAACCCTTACTGGCCCAGAACAGAAGAAGGATGCCAAAAGGGAGTTATATCTGAGGCTGCTTGGAGAATCCATAAGACCCGGCATGGTTATCAGGCAGGCCCCCAAACTAGGATAGAAATTCCCCAAAGATAGATGTTTCCATGAAACTTTCTGCTTCTGTGGAATATGACAGTGGCCAGGGCTCTTGTGTTTCCTTCTAGGGGTTGCATTAGACCTGAAGCCAAGCATTTCCCAGCACACCAAGATAATCAAGCCCTTCTTCTAGAGGGCAGATGTATTAATGCTCAGGCAGGAGGCAAAGCCAGCATGGTCTGTGGTGCTGTCCATTAGCCCTCCTTGAAAGTCACAGGTATTGCAGTCAAGAGGGGAACAATGGTCTCCTGGGGTAGCCAGTCAGCTTTGAAAACTCTGGTGTGGCAAATTCTGACTTATAACGTTCAGCTTCATCCCTTTCTGCGTTGTTTTTACTTTTCTCATTTCCTTTTTCTTCCTCAGTTTCTCTCTGGTCCCCTCAGTGGGGAAGGTGAGCCTTTATTTCTTGTTACTTCCAAAAGGACCATCTACCTCAGAGAAGATACCTCAGAGGGAGAGAGCCCCCGAGGTTGTCTCGAGCAACCCAGACGATAGCTTCAAGCTCCCCTCTCTCCTCGTGAACGAAACCCACTGAGCCCGGCTGATGCATCCCAAGTTCCTCAGGGTTTTCATGAGATCTCGGCGAAATCTTTCACCCACAAAAACGTAGAGCACAGGGTTCAGGCAACTGTGGAAAAAGGCGACGGTCTGAGTGACCTGGAAGCAGATGTCAATGTTGGTGGAAATGGTGCAGTTGGAAATGATCATGGTGTAGGCATTGATGGTCTGCACCAACAGGATGCAGTTGTAGGGGAACTGAGATAAAAGGAAGGCAGTAAGGACAGTGATGGTCACCTTTAGGGCCTTGTGCTTGGATGACTTCTTGGCTTGTAGCAGGGTGTGAATGATGATGGTGTAGCAGCAAGCCATGACCACAAGGGGAAGGAAGAACCCCACAATGACCTCTAGGGTCAGGACAGCTGACTTCAGTTTCGTGCTGTCATCTCTAGGATAAACCATGGTGCAGACGGCAAAGCCAGGTTCCCCATTGACTTGGCTATACAGGATTTCTGGAATGCAGAGCACAACTGCAATCACCCAGATGGTGAAACAAACCATTTTGCTATACAGAAGCCTTTTCTGCCTCCAGTTCTGTGCTTTCATGGCCTGGACAATGGCAATGTACCTGTCCACACTGATACACATGATCAGCAGCACACAGCTATAGAAGTTCATCTTGTACATGCTGTTGACCAGTTTGCACATGAAGCTCGGGAATTTCCACTGGTTAGCAGCAGCAATGGCCCAGAAGGGAAGAGTGACAAGAAAGAGAAGGTCAGCAATCGCCAAATTCAAAAGAAACATGTCGGTCATGGTCTTCACTCTTGTGCAGTACCAGTAGACAAGGATGACCAGACTGTTGCCCAAAGTCCCTACAATGAACGCGAGCCAGTAGAAGGGTGGGATGAAATAGCTCGCAAACTGCCGGACATTGTTTTTCTTGCAGAATAAGTCAGCAAAGTTGTTTATGTACTCGTACATTTCGGAGGACGCTGAATCATAGCTGTATTCATCAGACATATTAAGGATAAGGCTCTGCAATGGGACACAAGACAGCATTAAGTCAAGGACAATCTTTTGGAGGTCCTGTCTGATGGCAGAGGCAGGGACCACCTGACCCTTCCAACTCCAAAAGGTCTGTGGTAAGACAAAAGAAACATACGTGTAAGAAGTAGTAATTCTGGCAGCATATGCTTGGGTTGTAGCATCTTCATTTATTCGACAAATGTTTTTGAGCACCTATTTTGTGCCAGGTACTGTGCTAGGTGCTAAAGAACAGTGGTGAATAAGTTAGACATAGTTCCTGCTCTCACTGAACTTACCTGCTGGTGGAGGATGCAGGCAAAGAAATGAACAACTAGACAGGAAAAAGTGCTTTGGGACCACTAAGTTTATATCAAACTAAGTGAATGATTCTGATCATCCTTTCTCCTCTCCAGCCTCCCAAAAAGGTCAGCAGAGGCTCTTAAACTTTCCTGGGTCACAGACCCTTCTGAGTCTCTGGAAAGCTACAGATCCTCTCCTCTGGAAGCACCAACACGTATATGCACACACTAACACACACACACACACATTCACACATGCGTGTACACATACACATGGCACACACACATAAACACCAGGACCGGGTACCTAATTTGCAGGACTCCTTGTTCTAAAATTATTAAGAATTTCAAGACGGCAAGCATTAAATCACGCAAGTGGCACACCCATGAGGCCAGGCTTGACAAACACATCCGCTGGTATACACATACACAGACAATACACACACGTTTGTACACACTCGTGTGTGCACACACGTGCCACACTCATGCTTATATGCGGCACACACACGTATTCACACCCATACACATTCAGACGCACATGCACACACACGGGTGCATATGCACACACCCCCATCACACATTCACATGCACACACACACACATGCAAACGTACCCCTGGTTACAGTTCCCGTGAGTTCCTGGCCCTGAAGCCGTCCAGAGCCCCAGAAGGCATCCTAGAACTCCTGCTGGGGGAGAGGAAATGAGTGCCGGAGCTGAGAATACTGAGACATGAGCATATGACTTGAGTCATGTCATGGATTGAATTGTGTCCTCCCAAAATATCTGTCAACTTGGCTAGTCCGTGATTCCCAGCGTTGTGCGATGGTCCACCATTTTGTCAGCTGATGTGATTTTCCTATGTGTTATAAATCCCACCCCTACAATGTTAGTGAAGTGGGATTAGCGGCAGTTATGTTAATGAGGCAGGACTCAATCTACAAAATTGGGTTGTGTCTTAAGTCAGTCTCTTTTGAGACATAAAAGAGAGAAGCGAGCAGAGAGACAGGGGGACCTTATGCCACCAAGAAACAAGAGCCAGGAGAATAGCGTGTCTTTTGGACTCGGGGTCCCTCCTAGTCCAGGGGAAGATTGATGACAAGGACCTTCCTCTAAAGCCAACAGAAAGAGAAAGACTTCCCCTGGAGCTGACTCCCTGAATCTGGACTTCTAGCCTCCTAGACTGTAAGAGAATAAACTTCTATTTGTTGAAGCCATCTACGTGTGGTATTTCTGTTACAGCAGCACTAGATAACCAAGACAGATCATAATCTGGGATGGAGAGGGATGCAGGGATGGGGAGGAATGCAGGGATGGAGGCGTGAGTCAGTCCTGCAAATGTCTTGTCCCAAAGCCTCCACCCACAGATCCTCAAACACTTGCATTTTCCCACCAGTCCCCATCCCAGGGCTCCCATCAGGGCTCCCAAGTTCTACCAGGGACCACCAGGTCTCCCTCCCTTCCCCTAAGGGACAGTCCCTTCTAAATCCTATCTCTACCCTTGTTTTTCCTCAGGCATATGTGACAGTTGTTGTAAAATTAATCTGCATTCATTTGGACTGCAAGTTGCCCCAAACCCACGACAGGTTTTTATTTTGTTTTAAATATTAAATATAAATATTTAGTTGATATACTTCAATATTCTATTGAAATAATAAAATATTCTCCGTGAGGGTTCTATTAGCTGTATTCTCTCTATGTTGTGCTGTTGTTGTTAGCTGCCTGAAGTCAATTCTGACTCTTGTCGACACCCTGTGTGCAGAGTAGAAATGCTCCAGAGGGTTTTTAAGGCTGTGACCCTTCAGAAGCCGATCTCCAGGACTGTCTTCCAAGGCACCTCTGGGTGAGTTTGAACCACCACCCTTTCAGCTAGTAGTCCAGGGTTTAACCGTTGGCATCACCCCGAGACTTCTCTCCTTGTCTAACCCATTGCCGTCGAGTCAATTCCAACTCATAGCTCTCTTTGTCTTAATATAATTTCCATCTGCTTCTAATAGATTAGACTGTTTTGGGTGGAATTCCAGTGGCTAAAGTAGTTGAAAATCTCTGCATATTGTATCTCCTTTGAAATTCACAGTGCTCATGAGCCTATTAAAGCCCCCTAAAAGCCCTGTATAATTTGTTTTAACTGCACATTAGCATAGTAAAGGCTCTGAGAAGTCCTTCAGAATCTGCTGATTTTTGTTTTAAAATTTCCCAAACTTACCTGAACATGAGACCTGTTGTATGTATGTTTGTGGAGTGCTTATCAAGATATCAGAGGACCTTGAGTTGGCTGATAAAGGGCAGTGATATCAGGAAGCTATTGTCTCCTGAATCCTGAAGCACACCCCAAGAGCTAAGGGGATGAGTCTATCCTATTTGGTCCCTGGCTGGCAGGAAGTAGCAGGTGGACCTCAGGAGGACAGCCTGAGGTAGCTTGTATGACAACTCAGAAAAGCTGGAATCTACTCCTGGCTCCACTTCTAAGATGTGACCGAGGGAAGGTCTTGCCACAAAGAGAAAGACCCCAGGGGACCAGATCCCGGAGAAGGCTCTTCAGAGCAGCTATCCTGAAATGGCCCACTACTCGGAAGAGCTGAGGAAAACCCCTCTCCCGTTTTATATGTGGTTACTCCCCAGACTTGACACCTCCACAGTTCACGTTTAAAGAGTTCCCTTCCGGCTTTGGCCATTGTCTGGAAACCCAGTTGCGTGGGCGGACAGATCTGGTGACACATATCTTAGTCAAGATGCCAGGAAGAGTTCTGCTGAGGTGGGAGCCTGGTGCAGTCGTGGCCTGGGGCCCTAGGCTCTGAGGCCCCCAGGAAGGTAATCCCAGAAGAGGTGGGCTCTGAGCAGACTAAGTGAAAGGAAGAGCTTTGGGATGGAGGGAAGACTATGGAGAGCACAGAGACCAACGAATGGGCGTCCTGCAGCTTTAAGAGGCTGGGAGGACGACCTGTGGAGGAAAGTCAGTGAAGCCAGGCAGATGGGCAGGCATCAACTATGACTGCGTACAATGACTCAGGAGGAAACTCTGCTTTTGTCGAGCCTTTTAAAACAGTTTTTTTTCCCCCCAAAAGGTTTTAGTAGACTCTCACATGAACCTGAGCCAAACTGGTGAGGTAAGAGAAGCTAACAGCAACCCCACTCGCTGTGAGGGCCCGGAGGTGCTCACAGAAGGAAGGAAGTACCTGCTCCACGGGCCTGTCAAACCAGTGCTCCTCCCACGCCAGGCGGCTTTAAGGCCAGTGTGAGGAGGACGAAAGAAAGGAGAAAGAGGAAGGGAAGGGATCCAAAAAAGGGCGCACTTGACACAGAGGGATAACCTCACAGAGACCTGTTGCCGTCCAGTTGACTCCTATTCATGGTGACCCCATATGTGTCAGAGAAGAATTGTGCTCCATGGGTTTGCTTTTCTGTTTATTAATTGTGCTTTAGGTGGAAGTTTACAGAGCAAATTAGTTTCTCATTCAACAATTTATAAACAAATTATTTTGTGACATTGGTTGCAATCCCCATGATGCGTCAACATTCTCTCCTTCCCCATCCCAGGTTCCGCATTTCCATCTGTCCATTCTTCCTGTCCCTTCCTGCCCTCTTGTCATTGCTTTTGGGCAGGTGTTGCCCATTTGGTCTCATACACATGATTGAACCAAGAAGCACGTTCCTCGCGTGTGTTATTTGTTTTATAGATCTGTCTAATCTTTGGCTGAAGGGTGAACTTTGGGTCCATTAAGTTTTCAATAGCTGATTTTTCCCAAGTAGATCACTAGGCTTTCCTTCCAAGGTGCCTCTGGGTGGACTCAAACCGCAGCCAAGTGCGTTAATCATTTCTGCTACCACTATTTGCAACCTAGATCCACTTTGAGCAAAAGAATGAACTAGACCCGGTTCCTTCTTCAGCTATGAGGAGTGACCATTTGTTAGGGTAAACAGGAGCCTGTACCTCTCTAGAACGGTGTTTCATTGAAAATGCAACTATCTCATTCCCTGTCTGGACTAAGAAGATGGCGTGTTCATCCCAGGCTTGGGAAACGTTCACTCTTTATTTCTCGTTCATAGGCAATAAATATTGAAATGCGTTCACTCATTCAACAAATATTTACTGAACAACTTCTAAGTTCCAAGCAAGGAAACAACTTCCAAAGGACATCATTAGAGTTGACAATAGAAATGGGCCAAAACATCAAAAAGTTTGAGAGGCCTGTGCTTGCCAGACCGTGGCCCAAGTCAGGCCTTTGGATGGGACAGGGATGAGGTACACAGGGATGACAGGGAAACTGTTTGCACTAAAGCTGATCCTGAGGATGGCCTAAAGCCCTCACCTTAAAGAGGGGGAGATAGAAGAGAGAGAGGAAGAGAGGGGAGGAGAGGAAGGGGGAGGAGAGGGGAGGAGAGCAGGGCGGGAAGTGCCTGTTACTGTCCACCAAAATCAGGCATCCGAGCCACAGAGGTCCCTTCTCCTTTCCATCTCAATCATGCTAGACACCTTTGAGCACAGAAGGTCATTATTCGGGTGATTTTGCCTCTTATCTGGGACTGCCTTACAGAGCCCAGTGTGTGTGTGAAAGACCAAAGAGGGGGATCTTTTCCAAGATCCCAAATGAAACAGAATGAGTCAGGCTCAGAAGCAGACCTGGCTCTGTTCCTACAGTGATGGAAAAGGCAGATTCTAACTGAAGGACGGAGGCAGCTGGGGAGGCAAGAAACTAATAGGTCTAGTTCTTGTCAGAAAAAGTAGACAACCTACTTCACAGACATGGGGAACCCGGCATGGAAAGTAAAAGGGGGGGGAGTGCTGACACATTGTGAGGATTGCAACCAATGTCACGAAACAATTTGTGTATACATTTTTTAATGAGAAACAAATCTGCTCTGTAAACTTTCACGGCTGGCACAGAAAAATTTTAAAAATTAAATATGTATATGCAATTGTGTAGCTATAAATATGTAATGCTAAAGAATCATTAGCATATCATGAGTAATTTATTTGACATAAACTATTTCAACCACCACTCTCCATAGATCATATAAACCAACAGTGTACTATGAAGGAGAGTTTGTTAGCTTCACTAAGAAAGCTTGATTTCAATGATCTGTATGTAAAACTGAGACTTTCCCTTTGAGAAAAGCAAACCCTTAGATACGTTTGTAAGCCACTTCTGAACATAACAAAAGCATAAGAATTTGATTTAATTCTATAATTGGTTAGTGTTAGCTATAAAATCATAAATGATTCCCTGGGTAATGACTTTACTCGCTAATTTTTGTTAGGCTCTTAATCTCTTTCAGAGAAATATATGCCATTATGTGTTTTTGTAAGGCCTTCTTAGTGTTATGCGAGAAATACAACTAATCTGTTCATCTTGAGTCTTTTAAAAACAAATGAAATGGATTCTCCCTTGCCCTCTTTTGTGTGAATTTCAAAACAGACACACATAGAACTCAGCAAATTCTACTTAAAAGTCATAAAAATCCTTAGCTACTGTTATGGATTGAATTGTGTCCCCCAAAATGTGTGTCAACTTGGCTAGGCCATGATTCCCAGTATTGTGTAGTTGTCCTCTGTAATTGTCCTATGTGTTGTATATCCTAACCTCTATGATGTTAAGGAGGCAGGATAAGAGATAGTTATGTTAATGAGGCAGGCACAATCTACAGGATTAGGTTGTATCGTGAGTCAATCTCTTTTGAGATATAGAAGAGAGAAGAGAGCAGAAAGGAGAGAGATCTCATTACCACCAAGCAAGAAGAGCCAGGAGCGGAGCGCATCATTTGGACCTGGGGTCCCTGCACTGCGAAGCTCCTAGACTAGGGGAAGATTGATGACAAGGACCTTCCCCTAGAGCCAACAGAGAGAGAAAGCCTTCCCCTGGAGCTGGCGCCCTGAATTTGGACTTCTAGCCTCCTAAACTGTGAGAGAATAAATTTTTTTGTTAAAGCTATCCACTTGTAGTATTTCTGTTATAGCAGCACTAGATAACTAAGACAGCTATTAATAAAATTTAAAATAGCATTTTCCTCTTGTCTTCACAACACACCCATAGCACCTCTGGCTCTTCATGTATGCAAAGCTCTCTGTGCTGGGCAATGACTGCCCTGTAATCCTGGTGCTTCTCAACCGAGATCCTACCCTGGGAAACCAAATGGAGAAATCCTTCCCCCACAATGGATTCCTTTCCACACTCAAAAAAAGGCAAGAGGAATGTGAGTTTTAGGGAGGCTGAGGAGGATGGCTGTACTTACTGTGAATTCTGTGGTTGTCATGGTGGGTCAGATGCAAGCCTGCTTCTGGAAAGAGAGGATAAAAATCAAAAGATGATTTGACTGTAAATGAACAATAACCAGAAAACACCAAAAGATGGAGATTAAATATTAAATCTGTTTATGGTCATTAAAAAAAAAAATCTCAAGCAAGAGTTAGAGTCCATGTTATACTAATATCAAGTCAGATATTCTAGATTTCAAATCATCTTGGTAATTGACATAGAAATGAAAGAAATCTCTCATTTGAAGGTTTCGTTCACCTCTTTGAATCTGGTAGTCATCAGATTCTAGGATTCATTTTCTTTTTACTTAGACAATAATTAGAGCATTTTCCCATCCACGGATGAGGAACAGTGATGGGGCCACTGAGGCTTTTAAGTTTTTCCCAGGATGTCCTTTTTACATTAGCTCATTCTCCTCTTGTGTCAACTTCTCTGTCAGGTTCTGTTTTGATGAATGCCTTTCCCTTCCCCTGCCCCACATGCCATCCCCTCCATTTTATCAGCTAAGAGACTTGATAATGATAAGAGGATGATGTGGTCAATTTGAGAATACTCTAGGCCCCCTAATTCTGCATGGGTCCTTCTCTAGGTAACTGTAATCATGGTCACTCTTGTTAGGGTCCCTCTCCAGCACCTACCTGATCTGCATGCTCCATCAGGAAGCTCAGGTCAGAAAGATGGGCACTTTTTTCTATTCACCCTAAGACTCCAGCAGGAAAAGGAAGTCCTAGGCTTGTTTTCCAAAGAAGAGGAGGATTCACATTCCCTAATGCAAAGGGCCTCAGAGCTGACTGGAATAAATCTCTGTTGCTATTTTTATGTGTTTTGAGTCTCTTTAAAGCTCACCCCTCTATAACCAAGGGAACAACAGCTTACTCCCTTCACGGAAGATCTCTGTGCCAGAGCTGGCATTTCCTTTTATACTCCTAGCAAGTATATTCCAAAGAAACAAATCCAACTCCACATCTCAAGGTTCTAGAAGCAAATATTCTCCTTCATAAATCCAAACCTAACCTGTTGGCTTCCTTTCCATAACATCATGACCTACCCTGCTTTTCTGGAAGTATAGTAGTTTTCAAAATATAATGCGTGGCATCACCACTTTGGCAAACAGTTCGCAGTTTCTTGGGAAGTTAAACTCATGCTTACCATATGATCCAGCCATTCCACCCCTGAGTATTTACTAAATAGAATTGAAAACATATATCCACGCAAACACTTGCACACAAACGCTCTTAGTAGCTTTGTTTGTAATAACCCAAACCTGGAAACAACCCAAATGTTAATCAACTAGTGAATAGATGAATAAAATATCCACATAATGGAATAAAGAACAAACTATTGATACAGCAACAACACAGACAAACCTCAAAATAATTATGCTAAGTGAAAGAAGTCAGGCAAAAAGAGTACATACTGTACATTCCTATTTATATAAAATTCTGGAAAATGAAAATTAATCTATAGTGACAGAAAGCAGATCAGTGGTTGCCTGGGAGGGGCGCAAAAGGCATAAGGAAACCTTTGGAGGTAATAGATACGTTCACTATATTGATTGTATGATGATATCTCAAGTGTATATATGTCAATACTTATATTCTGCACTTTAAATATTTGCAGTTTATTATAAGTCAATTGCATCTCAATAAAGCTGCTAAAGTTAAACAAACAAACAAAAAAACCCACAAGGTATAATGAAAACTTTCTGGTTTTCTTCACTCCTCAGATTCATAACTGGCTGTCAGAAGGCAGCCAGAACTTCTTCCTTGTACCGTTCTGGCCAGCAGCCTCTCAAAGTGCCTTGGAGGGTCTTGGGTTGTTATATTGGAATTGAGGAATTAGTATGAGCTCATTATTTTAAAGATTAGATTAGATAGATAGAATATAGATGTGTGTGTGTGTGTGTGTTTCAAGCACATATTTCCTGGCTCTGTCTACTGAGAGGGGCTAAGAGCAATGACACACAGTAGAATGAGCTCCCAGTTCCTTGACTTTGGTTTCTCAATACTGTTCTCCTCCAAAAGGAACCAGGGCTTCTTGGAAAAATGCCTGAATTCCAGAGCTGGAACAGGGAAAGCACAAGATGAACCTGGAACAGCTTTTGCCCCAGAAAGCAAGAAGTGCTCAAAGGATCATGGGGACTTGTCAAAAAGACATAGGGGCCAGAAAAAAAAAATAAAAAAGACATACGCAACAACTTGATTGGGCTCCCACTGGCCAAGTCTGAGGCAATTTGAGCATCAAATAATGGTAATGATTATGGCACATTCAATAAAATGAGAATTCATGAATCCACACTGATATAAATAATAAAGAAATAAATAGAGGAGAAGAGAAAGTTCTTCCTTACAGTGCCAACTAATAAATATGGAAGAAATGATAGAAAATCGTCAATGGATGCCAAAATCGGTGGGTGAACGTCTGATGAGGAATAGCATATTTACTTAGTCTTGGAGGATCTCTCCCAAAATTACATATTCATTACAAATACCGAATAATTAATGTGGAGAAATCCAGAGGATACCAACTTAAACCACTCTTCAAACCCAGTGTCATTGGCATGAGAGCAAAATGATATCAAGACGACCTAAAAAGGGCAAAATGAGGAGGAAGGACATAGCTTGGCATCCTTTACTGATATCCTGACGGAAAGCACTAACCTAAGTCTAACAGAGAGGAAGCCTCAGACAAGCCCCAAATGGAGAACTTTCTACAAAGGAGCTAGCTGATATTCTTCAAAAATATCAAGGTCGAAGTGCCACAAAGAAAGACGGAACAACTGTCCCAGGTTAAGAGAGACTAAAGAGATTGGAGTCCTCAGGTGTTATAAACAGTTAAGCACTCAGCTGCTAAGTGGAAGGTTGGTCATTAGTCTGGCAATCTACTTCTGAAAAATCAACCATTGAAAACCCTATGGAGCACAGTTCTACTGTGACACACACAGAGTGATTCAGAGTCAACCTGATGGCAACTCGTTTAAAGAGATTGGCAGCTTGATGCAATGCATGATCCTGGAGTGGAGGGAAAGGTAACTGTAAAGGACACTATTAGGAGATCAAGGAAACTGTAATATGAACTATGACCTAGGTAACGTTATTGTACCAACGTTCAATTTCCTGATTTTGCTAATTGGGTTGTGGTTTTATAGGGGAAAGTCTTTGTTCTTAGGAACTACACCTTAAAGGAGCACAATGTTTTCAGCATATTCTCAAGTGATTCAGGGGAAAAAAAATTATATTATATTTTATATTATATTATGTTATATTATATTATATATTATGTATGAGCCTTGCCGGTACAGTGGTTAAGAACTTGGCTGCTAACCAAAAGGTCGGCAGTTCAAATCCACCAGCTGCTCCTTGGAAACCCTATGGGGCCGTTCTCCTCTGTCCTGTAGGGTCGCTATGAGTCAAAATCAACCCAACGGCAACAGGTTTGGTCTTTGTATAGATGTACGGATGTATGTAGCGAGAGAGAATGATAAAGCCAATGGGACAAAGTGAAAACAGTTGGTGAGACAGCATAAAGGGTCCAGACCAGTTCCATACACAATTCTTGTACCTTTTCAGTTAAGTTTGAAATTATATCCAAATAAAAAATTACTAAAGTTTTTAAAAAGTGCCTTAGAGATTGGTTCTTAGATGAGAAGCCTCAAACAAAGCAAAAGCCCAAACACAAGAAAGCCAAGAGCAGAGCTGAGGTAGCATAAATAATGAGCAGCCCCAGCTGCTGGCCGGGATCTCACACCAGCTGCCTGGACACAAACCGAACTTCACTGTAGCTGGAAAATTCTGGCATTTAGCTTCAGAAATACTATGCTTTATGGCTTTGTATTATAGAAGTGGAGCCCTGGTAGCACAATGGTTAAGAGCTACGGCTGCTAACCCAAAAGTCGGCAGTTCGAATCCACCAGCCGCTCCTTGGAAACCCTTGGAGGCAGTTCTACTCTGTCCTATAGGGTCTCCATGAGTTGGAATCGACTCAACAGCAACGGATTTTGTTTTCTGGGTTATTATGAAAGTAACACATTTTTGCAGGGCTTTTGGCAAATACGCTAACTGAATCACGTAGACTTCACGCTAATACAAAGAGGTCACCAAGATTATTAGGGAAAAATTTAGGGTGCAAAAGACTATGCTGAGTGATCATTTAAAAATATACATGTGTAAGGATATACACTTCACTACTGATTAATACTGAAACATTTTCTGGAAGGAGCCTGAACAATGATTACCAGTGAAGAGCAAGACTTTCATTTTTCCCTTCAGCTTTTGCAAACTATTTTAAATGTTTTACCTTGTACGTAAATTTTTATTTTAAGAGAGATCGTAAAAATAGCTTGTCAGCATTCAAAAACAGAAACCCTATGCTCTTCCGTTCAGCATACCTGTTTGCAAATCTCGTTGAAAGGAGGAACTTGTCCTCTACTCCAGCTAGGCATGAGAAGCAATTAGCACCGAAAGAACAATTTCATAATTGAAGTTGCCGCAGAGGACACTTTTTTGCAACGTCGAGATGCCAAGCTAGTTTTTTGAAAAAGATTTGTCGTGCTCCCATTGTCAATGTGTTCAGGCTGATAGAAAATTCAGAAAGAGCCAAGGAGGAAGAGGAAGACACGTTGGCCCCTACTGTCACGGTCGAAAGACACCCCGGACGACCTTGTGATCTATTTCTTTCCAATTGTTGTCAGAATCCTTTTAGAAAATGTTATTCCACCAGCTGCAAAGTCTCAGAGCTTGCTTTCATTTTTCTTCTTACCCCTGAGAAAGGGAAAAACAGAAGGGAGGAAAAGCCCCACACATGACAAAACACACGGAGAGTAAGGAATCTCTCAACTGTCTGTCGGGAGTAACCTGGCGTTTGACTCAAGGCTGCCCCAAACCTCTCCTCTTGCTGCTCATGGTGGCCTCATATGGGTGCTGTGGACACCCAACTCTGAAACACCTACCCGTGTGTTTGCAGCGTGGGGAGCTGGAGTAGGGGAGAAAGCACACTGGACCAGAAGTCAAAGGCCACGTCTGGTCTGTCCTTTTCTGGCCATAGGACCTTGGTAAGAAGTAAACGCCCCCATGGAGCCTCAGTTTCCTCATCCGTAAAATAGGTGCGATAGCCCAGCCTACTGCGAGGGCTTGCTGTGTGTGAGTGCTCTTTGCAGAATGCAGAGAACTATGCGAGAATGCAGGAACATTCTTCAGCCCATGGTGCTCACCTATCCAATGTGCCTTTAGCACCTAATACACCTGCTTGGCTTTAACAGTGTTTGAGCCATGATCCATGTCCCCAAGAAGCTCACAGTCAAGTCCAGTGGGTAATCATGTCTGTAGATACCAACAATGGTAAATGCTATGCGATACTGCAGGAATTGGGAGAGAATCATGTCTCCAGCACTGGAGAAAATCCAGGAGGGCTTCTGTGAGGTGGTGACATTTTTGCTGGCCCTTGAAGGCTGGAAAGAATGTGGAAATGTGATGATGGAAGAGGACATTGTTCCAGGACAGGGAAGCATATCAACAAAGGCACAAAAGCCAGAAAATGTGGGGTATGTGGAGGGCCTCAGAGTAGAGCTCCTTTCTCCAAGAGTGAAATATGCCCATTAGAAAAGTCAGCCTGGCTGGAAACGCTTCTCTGCCATCCATAAGTGTAACGTGTTGGCAGACTCCATTATTATTCAACCATTATTTTTGTATTCTCTGTTGTCCTTAAGTAACCACCATGACACTCAGCACGGAGTGCCTGCTTTGGACACAGCCCCTCACCACGGCCGAACCCCTGCTGCCTACAGTGGCCCAGGGCACAGGATACTAATAAGAGCCAGACACATAGGTCCTGACTTTGATCTTTGTCCAATGTGCTACTCGGGGATTGAATCATGTCGTGTACCTTCTGTAGCTCGGTTTTTCCCCTGCAGAGTGTGGGGGATCTGTGCAGCCTATAAGGCCACGTGCTCTCCAAGCCTGGGGCAGGCACCCACCTCCCTCCCACAGGCACTACACTGGGTCCAGGCCAGCCTGACAAAGCCTGCGTGAGCTTGATGCGAGCCTGCAAGGGGGGGGTGCATGCAAGGGGGCTTCCGGACAGAAAAGGAGATATTGGAATAAAGAGGCTCTGAGACTCTAAGTGCTGAAATGGAGAAATAGCTTAGGCTTGTTCAGCAAAAGGAGTCCCTGAGTGGTACAAACGCTTAGTACGCTCAGCTACTAACCAAAAGATGGAGGTTTGCGTTCACAGAGGAGCCTCGGAGGAAAGGCCTGGTGATTTACTTCCAAAAAATCAGTCATTGAAAACCCTATGGAGCGCAGTTCTACCCTGACACACATGAGGTTGTCCTGAGTTGAAACTGACTCAACAGCACCTGGTTTGGGTTTTTGTGGTCGTTGTTCAGCAGGGGGAGGGAGGAGATGCTCCTGTGGCCTCTTGCTGCACGGGCTGCCTTTGAGTTCAGCACTCAGCCACCTCTCACCTTCGGGTCAGCGAACGCCCAACTCAAAAGGGCGGGTGTGCTTGAAAGGGCAAAGCGGTGCTCACTGAGGAGTCAGTTAACCTAAAATAACTCAGCGTTTTTCTGATCATAAAAGAATATTTTCTCAATGCAAAACAATCCCCAAAGTGCAAACACACACGCAAAAGAAGATAAAAACCCTCTTCTAGTTTAGCCATTGTTCACCTTCTGAGGCACACCCTTTTGGAATTTTTCTCTGTTTAACACAACCTCGTGTGCACACACATACACACACACTCTTAATGGAAAAGTTATCTTACGACACATACCATTTTCTACGTTGTTTTTCTACTGAACAATCTCTCACAGGCCGCTTTCCACACCACCTCCACACAGAGCTGGGCCATCCCATTGAAAAACTGCCTAGTATACCTGAATACACCGCAGCTCACGTACTCAGTCACCTCTTGACGCAAAGCTTGGTTGTTTCTGATTTTTCACCGCTACAAAGAAGGCTGCCAAAATCATCCTTCCCTTGGGGCGGTCTCTCAGACCGGAGGCTCTCTCAGACTGGAGGATCTCATGGGGGCTTCATGTTCTCAGCCCCTGGCCACCTTCTTGTCACGTCTCCCCAAACACCTGCCCTCACTCCTTTAAAGTAAAAATCACAGACTGCCCTGAACTAAGCTTTGTGTGTGTGTGTGTGGTGGGGCGGGGGTGGGGGGAAGGTGAGGGGGAGTCTTCTTACTCATCCTGGAAGTCTAGGCAGGGCGCCACCCAATTCACATTTGCCTCCCTGGAAGCTTCTAGCAAAGTGCCTGGTGCCTAGTTGGTGTCCATGTCAGTGAACAAACGAATGAAAGCTTGGGTTTTGGAGGCCACTGCAGCAGTGCATGACTGAGCACACAGACCCCGGGACAAGGGCGGAGGGGGAGGGAGGGTGATACTCACGGCTGGCTGGAGGGCAGCACAGGAGGCTCCAGGAGAGAAGGCCCCCAGCAGCTTCCAGTCTCTGGGGAAGGGCTGGGCTGCTCTGCCTGAGATGAGGGGCAGACCTTCTCTGAGCTCTGAGTAGGCAATCACTTTGTCAAAACAGCGGAAGGGAGGCAAAGCCACCCTGGCTGTGTTGTCACTGGTGGGGTAACCCGAGAGGGTGGGGAGTCACCTGCTGCTGCTTCTAGCAGTCAGCAGCGTTGATTATCTGCAACCAGAAATGAAAAGCTGAGAACTGCTGGGCTAAGGGAAAACCATTGCCTCTGAAGACTCACATCATCTCAGAGCGATTTCTTTTCCTAGAGAGCGCTGCTGCTTGCAGGGAATGGGGAAATTGAGAGAAGTCAGCCTTGCCGGGCTTGTGAAGGTGTGCATTTATAAATGTCCACGGGTGGTGTTATCTGAACAGGCCTGCATGAGATTGCTACCCCAGCACCTTCCATCACGATGTAACACTTTTTGGCCTTGATAGATGTACCTGAATGCTTTTTAGCTCTGCTGTCCAATACAGTAGCTACTAGTCATAGGCAGCTATTTAAAGTTAATTAAATTTTTTAACTAAATTGATTAAACTAGCTACATTTCGATAGTCTCATGGGGTGAGTGGCTACCGTAGCGGACAGTGCAGTTACGGAACATTTCCATCACCATGAAAAGCTCTATTGGAGAGCGTTGCTCTAGAAAGTTGTGTATGTGGTAAGTGGCTACAAACACAGAGTGCTGGAGCCCACTTGCCCTAGGAGGCCACTTCTTGGAACTGGAGCCAAATACATTAATATGTTATTTTGAAGTGACCAGTGTAAGTCAACTACGTCAGCACTTACAATGCTTCATCTTACTAATCTTGGGTGTTTTGATGAAATCTGGAAATGCCTAAAA